TCAGGGGACCCCTGGTGCCTGGATGTCTTCTTACTTGTGTTCTGTCAGGGCTCCTGCTGCATCCCGAAGTCGGGGACGTGGCCATCGCGCTTGGTAAGTAGGTGTGGAGCGTGCGGAGCTAAGACACTAGACGTGAGCATGTCCATGCTGCTCCTGTGGGGACGCAAGATTACATCCCCAGGCTCGGGTCGTGAGGCCATAGGCTGGGGCTAGAGCCGCCCCCAGGTCAGTGGTCAGTGAATTTAACTCTGAACTGTTAACCCAGCTCACGGGGTTGGCGGGGCAGTGCCTAGCAATGTCTGGGCTGTCAGGAAAGGCTGCTGGGGGCACGCATGGTGAGCTGGACTTTGTGTGTGGGGGGGTGTGGGGGTGTGGGTGGGTGAGGGTCAGAGCCAGGCCCCTCTGCCCAGCAACGGCCTCTCTGGAAGAGGGGCTCCTGCTGTTCCCGGGGCTCTGGTGCCCCCCACCTGTGTCCACATCTGCACATCACGCCAAGACCGTGTGTGTGTGATACGCACACCCACATGCAGACGGAAGAGCAGCTCTGTTTCTCCAGAAACAGAGACTCGGTTTCCCCGATGGCCGGAGTTGGAGGTGTGGATGCTGCCCGGGGACAGCGATCTGTGATGACCGTGGGCGGGGAGGTGGAGTCCCCGCGAGAACTCAGTGGGCTTCGTGAGCCAAGCAAGCTCCCACTACAGCGGATGAGGTGCCCGGCGTACGACCGGGCTCCGGGGCAGGTCCTGACCCATCGTGGGGTGTGGCCCCCACCAGGGCTGCTCTCCACAGGGCTCGGCTTCTTGTTGGTTTCCACAAAGCGCTAGCACTGACTGGTCCTCTCGCGGACCCATGGAAGCTTGGGAGCCATCGGTTGAGGACAGAACAAGGCTTCTGGACAACAGGACCCTTGTCCGGGCTGGGGCTATCAGGGAATGTGCCCCCCAACCCCCCCACGGAGGAGCCCCAGGCCCCAGCTTCCTGCTGAGACCAGGTTAGGTGGCCTCCTGGGGCCAGGGCCAACGGCTGTGGGGGTGGAGTGCAGGAAGGAGCCCTCCACCCCTGGGCTCTACTTGGGACCAACCAAGATGCAAGGCAGGGCTACTGCTTAGGGCTCCTGGCTCCGTGTTCAGCTGGGGTGCTCCTGGGGCTGCTTCCCCTGGGAGGAGGAGGGGCTGGGGCCAAGGCGGGAGTTTCTGGGTCCCCCTACTCAGACGGAGCCCCTGAAATGGGCTGGGTCCCCCCTCCCCCATCCCCTGAGGGCACCCGACCTGCTCTGTCACTGCATGGGGGATGGGCTATGGTGCTCACACAGGGACGGGTGACCCTGGGCTTGGCAGGGGCACTGATGGAGTGGGAAGTGGGGCACGTGTCCCCTGAGCCCCACTGGGGGGCCACCCAAGCTGTTTGCCTTGGAGGAGTGGAGGGTCCTCGTCGGGCGGCCTCGGATCCGACCTGTCCTTGGCACCCTTCCCGGAACCCCGCTTCCAGCCCCACCAGGCAACCCCTGCTCAGGCGCCTGAGACCCTGGGGAGGGCACTGGGCAGCCTGGGGTCCTGGGCCCAGAACAGGGCGCTTAGGAAGCCCAGGTCATCAAAGTGTTTTCCCAAGCTGTTGGGCACAGCTGGTATTTTCAGTCTCGTCCAAGGGATCTCTCCCCACGTCCACGTCTTCCCCTCCAGGGTCCTCAGTCTGGGAGTACAGCGAGGAGGCCCACCCTCCCCTCTGCTCCCCTTCCTTCCCCTCCCCTCCCACCGTCACCTCCAGCGTGGCCCTGTGGAGCTCCGGCCTCCCAGCCCCTCCTGCCTGCTGTCCATTGGCTGGCCTATCACCTTTACCCCTGACCCCTCCTCACTCCCCACCTGCCCTGAGCCCAGCCTCCCAGCTGCTCTCCCGCTCCTTCCATCACCCCTCTGTCCATCCTCAACCAGCAGTGGGGGTCTGAAGGACAAGGGAGGGCTGAACCACCTCTGCCCGGACCCCCAGGGCCCCCTCACTAAGGGCCCCCAGGACTACAGCCTGGTCCTCGCTGACCCTTGCACCCCACTCGACCACCTGGCCACCTTTCTCTTGGCCTACCTCGGACGCATCAGCAGCGTGTACAGCCTGGGACCCCTGCCCCCTGCCCACAGGCCCCAGAATCCCCCCACCTCAACCTCTTGCCCTTTTCTGCCTTACTGCCCTGCGGCCTTCTTCCGAGTAATCTGTGTGCTCTGCCCACCATTGCCCAGCTCAGCCAGGCCTGGGAGCAGGAGGGTCTCCCTCAGGGCCCCAGCCCCCCTGGCCAGCGGGGGCTGCCGTGCTCCAGCGTGCACCCCTGGGTCTGACCTTCCTATGCCTTGTCACAGCAGACTGGACGTGTGAGGGTCTCTGACACAATGCATTTGCCAACTTCCTCCCCAGACCTCACCGTGGCGGCTCTGCCTGGGGCCACGCGGGGCAGCCGTCTCGGGCGCACACTCCCCTCGGCTCCTTCTTCCGGTCCTGCTCCGTGTCCCACATGTCCCCAGTCCCAGGCGCGGCCATTCCCCGCCCCCGCCCCCACCCCCCGCCGGACGGCCGTTCACAGCACGGTTCTGACACTATGGACGTTTCCAGAGGGGCCAAGGGTCATGGGTCCGGCCACCAAGCCAGACTGTCGTTGCTTCTGGTGGCTTCTGCTGATTCCGCTGGGTTTTCTCTTGTAGGTGGACACTTCGTGCTGCTTCCTGCCCACAGAGTGTGTCACTGGGCTGAGGTGCGCCCAGGTCCTCACAGGGGCCGGCCCACTGCCGGCACGCCATGCCCACCTGGAAGGGGGCGCCCCGAGGGCGGCACCCGTGTGTCCAGCGTCCAGCAGGAGTCCACCAGCTGCCCTCCTGCCTCATCCTCAAGCCCAGAAGTCCTCACTCTGTCCCCAAAATCATCCTTCTTTGGTCTCTGCTCCCAAAGCTTAGGTGGCCGCCCCAGAGGTCTCTGTGTCCATCACCCAAGCCCCTGGGCTCTCTGCGAAGCCAACCCAGCACCAGGGCCCAGGTCTGTGGCCAGAGAGGTCAGAGTTGTAGCCCCCGCGCGCCCAGGACCAGGCCAGCCCCGGGGCCTTGGGGCTCTGGCTCTAGAAGCAGCTGCAACCCGCCCACATGGTCACAGCCTCCCCAGCATCCTGTGTCCATCTCTGGGCGCGCTTGGCGTCCCTGGTTTGGGCAGAAGCTGCCTCCCCATCTGGACTCTCCAAGCACGAGTGCGGAACAGCCCTTCCCGTCAGAGCCACCAGCATCCCACCCGGCCCTGGAAGGCTCTCCGGGCCAGACTCGGAAGAGGCCGTGGGAGGTGGGGTCTGAAGCTGCCCAGGACAGCCAGGCCCACGGGGGCCACTTCTGGTCACTTATCCCCACCCCAGAGATGACAACTCATCCCCACAGCCTCCTGGAGTCCAAGAGGGGTGGTGGCCCCAGGCTGCAGCCTGGGGAGCCTCCCCTGTGGGAAGAGCCTCCTGGGGGTCTTGGTGGCTACACCTAGCTTGCAGCTCTTTCCAGAAACAACTTGCATAATCTGGCCAGGGCTGCTGGGGCTGGGGCTGGCGGGCAGGGACCCGCTCTCTGGTTACTTCCTGCCGCCAGCCCCAGATCCAGGCAGGGGGCTGGGCTGTCCCCAGGGGGTGGGGGATTAGTCACTGCACCCTCCACCCCGAGGAAGAGGCGGCTCCCTCTGACACCCGAGCCGCTCAGGGGGGTCAGTGGCACTGATGTGGGTGCCGCCCACAGCCGCGGGGTCAAGCGGTCAGTGGAAGAGCGGCTCCCGAAGCCAGAGGCCTGAGAATGTGCGGCTCCCAAGGAGGGCGTCCCGTGGGGCCAGCAGCCTGTTCCCTGCCCCTGTGTGGCCGTGGCCGTCCACCTCACACTCAGGTGGTCTCCTGAGCCCAAGGGAACCCCTCCAGCACCAGCTGGTCACTGATAGGAGGGGTCGAGCTCTGAGGTCGGTCCCCCTTGCCGTGTGGCTGCAGCGACGGCTGGGGCGGGCAGGGCTGGGGACTGGACCAGGGGTGAGGGCAACACCGTCCAGGTGGGTGCACCAAAGAAACTGTGAAGGGTGGTGCCGACCACACCCAGGCTACTCTGACCAGGTCTTGGGAGCAAGGTGAGCCCTGTCCACACTCCCAGGGCTGCCATGGGGCTGGGTCCAGCCTGAGGCCAGCGTGTGGCTGGGGGTGTGGTCTGGGGCCTCCCCCGGGGCCTCCAAGGAAGGGGTTGAGGAACGTGGAGGTTCTCAGGGCAGAGTTGGGGTCCCAGGGAGGATGAGGGGAGGGGCAAGGGTTTGGTCTGCGGTGGGCCTTTGTGCTCACGAGTGCGCACACACCCAACCCGGCGTCTATGTGGTGAGGGGTCTGATGCTTTGTGGGAAAAAGACGGAGCCCTCTTCTAGAAGGTTCCTTCAGCACGCAAGGCCTACTGGTGTCCGGTGTGACCAGCGGGGTGGATAGGCAGGGCCATACAGGACGCCCTCCCTCCCTCTATTCTGTGCATGGATACGTGCTGTTCCCCAGCAGCTGGAGGCAGCAGGGCCCCGGCCAACCTCCCTGGCTGCCCGGTCCTGGGGGCCGGCTGAGGGTATGGGGTGGGCCCTCTGGCACCCAGTCTGTCCCCACCCCATTCCTGGGTTTTACGGACAAGCTTAAAAACCACAGAGTCCACACGTTGCAAAATGCTCCAAGTGTATTTGTGAATCCAGTTGGTCACTTCCTGCGGCCCAGGGCCGACAGGGTGAGGCTGTGCCTCCTGGTGGCGGGCTAAACAGCCGGGCACCCAGTCCAAGCGACCACCGTGGTGCTCAAGTCCTGGGAACGCAGGCTGGCCCTGCGGCCAGGGGAGCCCTACTTCCCCAGCCTGGTCCCGAGCGGGGCTGCAGGTTGGTCGGGGCCGCCGCACATCCAAGGGCCAGCCGGACCCCGGGGAGGGGCGAGGTGGGCGGGCAGGGCAGCCTGATCTCGGTCCCCTGGAGCCGAGGCTGTAGGGAATGGGATGCTCTCATCGGTGTATCCCGGACAGGGGTTGCCGGGAGCCCTGAGGACGGGTGCTGGTCAGTCGGCTGGGAGGGCCTGTGGCCCTGGCCCCGCTCTTCCCGCCCGCACGCTGCATCTCCTGGCTCCGGTCCTCATCGCTCTCCACAGGCCCCGACCCCTCCGCGTGGCCCGGGGTGCCGTGAGACCCACAGCGCTGCCCCACGCAGCCACACTCCTCCACGTGGGGGTAGCTGAAGGCCTGGCTGGAGCCGTCCGCGCAGAGCAGGGTCACGTTCCTCAGGGAGACACGCAGTCCCTGGCAGCACTCACAGCGGTGCTGCATGGCGTTGGCCTCCTGGGAGTACCTGTGGGCGGGGCCTGCTCAGCGCGGGCGCCACGTGGCCCGCAGCCACGTCAGACCCCGAGCGCCCCACCTGTGTCGCGGCCACCTGCTCTCAGAGGCGCTCCGGCCTGTAACAGGCGCACGCGCCCACGCGCCCCTTGCGGGGTGTGAACACTCCCGCAGCTGTCCAGGCCGCCAGCGACCACGGCTGAGCCCCAGGCACGCCACCAACGGGACCGTTGAGTCTGTGGTCCCCAAACCCAGCAGCCGGATGCCCGACAGTCCACGGGCCGCCACCCCCGCTGCCCTGCCCCCGCCCCTCTCCGTCCCCCGCGCCCAGTGCAGACCCTGCCCCGCGCAAGCGGGCCGGGCTGAGGAAGGGGCTCACATACTTGGAGGCGCTGTCCCCACAGTTGCCCTGGCAGTAGGGCAGGAGCACGGGCCCGAAAGAGCTGCAGCCTTGCTGCTTGATGACCCGGGACTCGTTGAACATGGTGCAGGTCAAGTCTGGGGGCGACACGGGAGGCCGTGCAGAGGGTCGGGACTGGCCGGGAGCCCTGGGCCCCCCCAGGCGGGACCGGCCACCCCCCGAGGACACCCCCGCTCACTGTGCTGGGATGGGGATGGAGGACAGGACACACAGCAACCATCCGCGCTCGGCCGGGCCTGGTCCTGTGCCGACAAAAGGGCCGCCGTGAGGGCCGGGGCAGCCGTCCCAGAAGTGGGGGGACGCACGGGAGGGGACCGTGCCCCACGGAGGCAGGCAGCACCCTCACGGCCACCGCACCGGGCCGACCTCGGCTCCCCACCCCCACCCCCGGGCGAATCTTGCGGTGGCCTCCCGTGGGCGCCCAGGGGGCCAGGCGGGGCTGTGGGCTCCCAGAGCTCACCGCAGGACAGCGGAGTGGGGGACACGCCTTCTTCCTGGTCACCACCACAAGCCCGTCCCAGTGCTCCTCACACTCGTGGGTCACACAGGGGTTCCCAGGGTCTGACCAGGACTGGCCGGGCTGCAAGGAGGAGCCGGCCAGCAGGGTTAGCGGGCAGGGGAGGTCTGTTGTCCGCCTCCCGGCCCGTGGGCTTCCAGAGCCCTCCTGGCCTCTGCCAGGCGCAAGCCCCACAATGACCGCTCCCCAGGGGCCCCCAGTGCGCCAGGACGCGGCCGGCTCAGCACTCCCCACCCCTGCTGCCACTGTGCACCTCACAGCAGCTCCGTCCAGGCAGGGGTGGGACCTGGCCCCGAGCCCCGGCCTCCCCCGGAGCTCCTGGGAGGTGTGGCCTCGCCCCAGCCAGGACTCACCCGCGGCCCCGTGGCCCCGAGCCCGCCCACAGCCAGGACTCACGTAGAAGACATGGACGGAGCTGTCGCTGGTGTTGAGGACGCAGGCCTGCGGCTCGCACCCACCGCAGCACCGCCCGCTCTGCTCCCGGTACTCAAAGCCCTGCGGGGAGACGTGGCCATGCAGCCTGAGCCCCAGCACCGGCTGCCCCAGGCGGCAGGACGGGCCGGTGGCAGCAGGCACTCACCACGGGGCAGCGGGTGTCGCAAATCTGGGTCTCGCAGCTGATCACGGCTGTGTCCGAAGAGGGACGGCCGGGCACCTCGCATCGGCACGTTTCACACAGACTGGAGGAGACCACGGAGCCGGGCTGGGGAGAGTCGGGGCGGCCAGGGCCGGTGAGCTTCCGGAACGTCCCCCTCCGGGCCTGGCCCCCGCTAGGCAGGCCGGGCCCTCTGGGTGACTCTAGGTGCTGCCTCCTGGCGGGGGGGGCGGGGAGCCCCAAGCCTGCGCCCTGTGACCAGGGTGCCCAGGGAGGTCACATGCTCAAGAGGGCCCAGCCGGGGGAAACTGAGGTTGGGGGCCCTCGTCACGCTCAGGAGAGAGCCGAGGGATGCGGGCCTCGCCCACCCTGCTGATGCTGAGGAGTGGCGAAGCCGGGGGGCCGAACTTGGCCTCAGCTACGCGGGGCTGCGGGCTGTGGTCCCCGAGAGCTCACGGCTGCTGGAGGTGCACCCGGGCTGGCGGGGGGCCTGGCACGGCCGGCAGGCCCCATCTCGGGGCGAAGCTGGCAGGGGCAGGGACAGGGAGGGCTCAGCTCCCTGGGTGCCACGGGGGTCCTGACCTCCGTGTCGCTCTTACCTGGTACAAGGTGCCGTTGACACTGCAGACACTCCAGCCTGTCCGAGAGGGGACGCGCAGTCTCACAGATCCACCCTCACCCCCTGCCGTCCCCCGGCCCCCCCGGCCCCCAGAGCAGTGGAGACCGCACGTATCGCGGGAGTGGGCTGGCCCCCAGGCACCAGGCAGTGGTGCCCCAGCTGCGCCTTTGTCCAGGGTCACCCCGAGCCACAGAGGACCCTGAGAGAGACTCCCCCACCCCCCCCCGCGCAGTGCCCGGGCGGCCCACGAGGAGGTTGCAGACACTCACTGCAGTTCTGGCTCGGGCAGCAGGCCCCCTCCTCGTAGGTCAAGATCAGGCCGGAGCCCTCGGGACAGGCCACGGGCTTGGGGCAGTAGCTGGGATCACAGGCTGCGGTGGACGGGAGGGTCCACTCAGGGGCCTGCATCTGGCTCTGCACGCCCCCACCCCAGCCCAGTGCTGTCCCCAGGGGTCCCCAGCAGTGCTGCCCACCCAGCAGGCCAGCTCTCCAAGGGCCGGGCCACTCTGGGTGGCCTGGGCAGAGGAGCCCCCTGCCCTCCTGGCATACCCACCCGTCCCAGAGCACGTCTATTGGGGGGGTCACCGGCTGAGGCCTTGTGGGGGGCGGGGGGCTGCTGTCCCCTTGGTTGTGCCCCCCCCGTGCAGCTGGTGGGCAGGGGCCCCGTGCGCTCAGGCGGAGGCAGGGGGGCAGCAACTCCGAGCTCACCGCAGTTGTACTGGGGACAGCACTGGTCGGCCTGGGGGGCTGCAGGCACGGGCACGAAGCCGGGCACGGGGCAGGCTGGGGGCAGGGGGCAGGGCTTCCTCTGACAGATCAAGGTCAGCGTGCTGTTCCCACAGGTGCACTCCTGACAGTCCACGTGGACGGTGTGGCCGGGCTGCAGGCGAGGCACAAGTGAGCCCAGGACCCTGGGCCTGGCCCCCGCCGGTCCAAGCATGGCTGCAGCCAGACAGAGGGGTGCCGGGAGCCCACGGCTGAGGGCCGGCGGGGGAGCCGGGGGGAGCCGGGGGGAGCCGGGGGGAGCCGGCGGGGAAGAGGGCTTCAGGGGCGGGAGATGGGTGGGAAGCGCCAGGTGGGTGACCACCTCCGTTCTCACTGTGAACCGGCGGAGCAGGAGGGGGCCCCACTAGAGGATAGGACAGGGCCACCCCAGGGGCGGGCGCCCCCCTCCGGGAGCCTTGACCCCTCCCTGCCCCTCCTCGAGGCTCTGGCACTGAGAGGACGCCCCGCCCCCCACCCCAGCTGGCCACACTCACCTCCACAGGCTCCCCGTGGGGCCCCAGGCACTCTGGAGGGAGAGAGATTGAGGTCACAGGTGGGCAGCCGCGGCCCCCCACCTTTCAGGGGCAGGACCCATGTTGGGGGCCCAGGCGGTCCCGAGCCGCAGCAGACAGCCCCAGGATCTGGCTGGGAAGCACAGATCCATGGGGGGAGCTGGTCCTGTGCACCTGCCAGCCCCCAGCCCCGCCCATGGGCACATACTGTGGCAGTCTATGGGCACACAGACGTCAGAGCTCGTGCTGAAAGGCATCATGTCCTCTGGACAGAAGCAGCCTTCTGTGATGGGGCCAGTGTCCTGCAGAGCCCTGTGGGGACAGCAGAGGGCTGGCCTGGTCCCTGTGCCCCCCAGGGTAGGAGAAGGCCAGCCGGGGGCTCTGGGGAAGGCCTAGGCGGGAGAGGCAGGTGCGTACATGAGGCTGGTGTTGTCTCTCCCGTAGCAGTAGGAGAGCTCGGACGGGCCACAGGGCTGGTACACCTTGTCAGCAGGGCAGGTGAACGCTGTGGGGTGGGGGGCACAGCTGAGGCCAAGGGCAGCAGCCCAGAGCAAACTCCAGGCCTTGCCGTGAGCCTCATCCCTAGGAACCCACTGAGTGCCTGACGCCTGCCGGGGGCTCTGCAGCCCAGAAGCTGGCCCCCTCGGGCCCCACCCCTGCATGCCCCGCCTGCCCACAACTGCCACCCCTGCGCTCCAGGCCCCGGGCACCCCAACCTGGGGGCTCCCCACTACTCGCCAGGAGCTGAGTACACTCTGCCCTGGAGTCAAGCCTCCTCCTCCAGGAAGCCCAGCTGCTGACCGCCAGCCCGGCGTGTCTGTCCCTCGGCCACTAGCCGCCCACCGTGGCTCGCCGGGACAGGGCAGGCACTCACGGCACGCGTGGCTGGTGTGGTTCCTCCAGTGGATGCACACGCCGCGGGAGGCGCAGAGGGACGCGTACAGCTCCAGGCTGGAGCACACCACGCCCGAGTCGGTCTTATGGCACTGGTCGAAGACGCAGCCTTGGTAGAAGTTCATCGGGGGGATCACAGCGTGGCACCGCTCAAAGACCCTGTGGCCAGCGAGACCAGGTCAGGGGGCAGCCCGGGCTTTCCCCTAGGTATGCGTGCCCCGAGGAGGACGGCCCGCCGCAGCACACGGCTGTTTCTTTCTCAGATTCTCCCCTGGGCCTCCCCGTCGGCCCGGAGACCGGTGCTGCCCTGGGGTGATGACGCGGGCCCAGACCCACCGCGAGCTAGCGGAAGCCGACCCACCCGGCCGGCCCGGCGCCTGGTGTCCCAGCAGCGACCCGCGGCTCTGCTCCACCCGCCCCGACCCCCTGCTCCCTTGGGAGCCGCCGTAGGCGGTGGAGGGTGGGGTCGGGGGGCTGCCTGCCTGGGCCCCTCCCCAAATCTCACTTGCTCAGAATCAGCTGGCAGATTGAGGACGACGAGCACGGGGTGGGCGAAGGCGTGGGCCTGGCTGGAGGGCGCATCGGGGAAGGTTCGTGGCAGAGTGGCTGGTGGGGTGTTGTCACCTTCCAGTGGCCGGACATATCGGAGCAGGAGGCCGCCACCGCCCCCCCAGGCAGGCGACACTCGTCCTTCTTGTCATTGGTGCAGGTGCCTGGGGTCGGAGGGGGGTTGGGCGTCAGGCCGGCAGGGGACAGCCGAGAGCCCCCGACCCGTGGGCCGCGGGGCCCCCGAGCTGGGGGTGGGCCCTGGCGCTCGGGGCAGCCCGGATGGGTTGGCTGAAGGACCTGACCCTAGGCGTTTCCCTACCCCCTGTGGAGGGAGGATGGGTGTGAGCCTCGGGCGTGGGGCACAGGCCCTGGCCCCTCCGGTGCACGTCCCGCACATTCTCAGTGCGGCTGGAAAGCGGAAACACCTGCAGGCCCGGGGCCACGCGCGCAGCCTCCGCCCCGGCCGAGAATGCGGTCCCCGGGGGTCTCCCCCCGCGCGGCCCTTCCCACGGCGGACACTCTCGGCTACGTGCCTCCAGCAGAGAAAGGGCCCAGCGTCCGCAGGGCCCGGTGGGGATGGAACTCACCGCACTGGCCCTCTGTGTTGTTAGCAAACTTGCTGAAAGGCACCTCCACCGAGAAGATGAGGCCGGAGAACATGACCTGGACGCCAAGCTCGGGGATGGTCACGTACATCTTGATGCCGATTTGGAACACGCTCATGCCATCCTTCTGGAAGCCGGGCCTGACCACTTTCTCATTGAAGATGATCTAGACACGGCCGAGGACGAGACAGAATGAGGCGGCGCCCCCAGCCGCCCCGGTCCGCGGGGAGCTGCCTGGGGAGCTCCCCACCTCGTTGGTCATCACACCGAGGACGGGCTTGCGGGTCAGCACGACGCGGTCCTGCCGGTACTCGACGATGATGGACTGCGGGCAGGAGAGCCCGTCCTCGGCCCCACAGAAGTAGTTGTTGATGAGCACGCGGAAATGCTCATACACGGGCATGATCTGCTGCACCAGCACGTATGTGCAGTTGCCCAGGAATGTGTAGTACGTGCCGTCGAAGGTGATGTAGTGGGGGTCGCCCCAGCCGCTGCACACACCTGCGGGCGCAGAGCAGCCTTACACGGGGCCTCCCGACCGGCACGTCTGCCCCGGGACGCACTTGCCCAGCACTGGCACAGGACTCCGTCCGGCGGGAGCTGAGGAGGCCTGAGCGGTGGGGCCAGGCCCTCTTGGCCTCCTGCCGCCTGACACGGCCCCGGGGGCCCTGGGGCTCGGGCGGGATTCCCCTCGGCGCCCCGGTGGAGGCCTGGCGCCATCCATTCCCCACCTCGCTGTCGGGCAGGCCTCCCTGCTAGCTCACCCAAGTGCATCCCGCCCCCCCGGCGGGACACCCTCGGCCCCGCTGCCCCGCCTGGCTCCCGGCTCACATTGGCACTGGTAGCCTGGACAACAGTCGCCGTGGTCGGCCACCTTGGCGGGGGGGAAGCCGTTGGCACAGGTCGGCGGCTGAGCGTGGGGACAGCGGCGCTGGTGCACGCTGATGACTCCGTTGCCCTCACAAGTGGCCTGAGAGCAGTTGGGCGTGGGCCAGGTCTCGCCTTTCTGTGGAAGGACAGCTCTCAGCCTGGGGAGGCTGCAGTCCCCCAAGAGGGGAGCCACAGGAAGCCAGCAGGGGACGGGACCTGCCCTGTCCAGCCCCTGCCACCCTGTTCCACACACAGGTCCTCCCCCCCGGAGCGCTGCCCCGACCCCACACACGCTCCCCGGCTGCCCGGCCCCACCCGCTCGGGCACCCGTCATCTGCTGGTTGCACACACTCCCAGCTCCCCGGTTGGCACCCCCTCTCGGCAGCCCTGCAGGACCAGAACTGGCCACTTCCCAACAGTCAGCCTGCTTCAGCCCGCGGGTGACTGACTTTCCTGCCCACAGCTGAACTGGAAAGATGCCGAGAGTCCCTGCACCAGCCTCTGAGAAGGGCAGAGAGGGGGAGTTACCATTCTTGGGGGGACTGCGTTGGGGCACCCCTGCTTAGTGACAGTCCTGGAGGACGACGAGGAGAAGCCGTGGGGGGAGGTGGTCGGGGCAGGAGGTGACACGCTGCTGGGGCAGGACTGGTCCATCCGCCTGACCACGTGGCAATCCAGAGTGCACATGGCATAGTAGCAGTGACCGGCGAGGTCGGTCTGTTGGTAAACGATGGATCCTGTGAGAGAAAAGACCAGGCGGGGGTGAGCGGAGCCGTGCTGGGGGAGAGCCGCAGCCCAGAGTGGCTCTTGCAAGCTCCACGTCCACACAAAGGGCGGACCTGGTAGAGGCCTTCCTGCCCAGAAATAAAAGGAAGAAATCCTCAAAGACGGCTCAGTGCCGCGCTCGGAGACACCCTGTAGCCCAGTGGCACGGGCAAGGGACCCTCCCCTCTCCCAGACACCACGGCTTCCTGTGGACAGGACAGCAGCGGCCGGGGGCAGCACACACAATTCACATACCTGCGGAGTAGAGCTTGCCAGACACGCTGCAGTAGCATGTCGTGGTGGATGGCGCCACGGAGCTGGGCAACGGCACAGTGGACACCACGGAGGTAGGTTCGGGAGGGGACGAGTGCTTGGTAGGTGAAGTCACGTGGGGCTTCACAGAAGTGTGACTGCAGTTCTCTGGGGGCTCACAGCACAAAACCCGGACCTCATAGTTGAGGCACATCCCGACATTGCCCTCCTGGTCCCGGTTCCGGCACACGAGGC